AAACAAATGAATAAGTGGAAAAAAAGCAACAAATAAATAAAGATTGTAATGGAGAAAAATTATTCAATAAATATATTGATGAGGAAACAGGAGTAGAATGTTTATAAAAAAGTGAACAAATGAATGAATAGACAAATCAATAAGTGTACATATGCAATAAATAAATGAAGATTTTAATGAGGAAAATTCATTTAATTAATAAATTGATACATATGTAGGAAGTAATGCAATGGGTAAAAAAAATGTACAAATAAATCAATAGGTTAAATGGAAGCATAACTAAATAAATTAATAAATAAATGTAGGAATAAAAAGGAAAATAAATAAAATGCATTTATATTTTTTTCATTATATACATATATATAAATGAAATGGATAAGAAAATGTACAAATAAATAAATCGATAAATCGATAATCGATAAATCAATAAGTAAAAGAATTAGTAAAAAAAATATATAAATATAAAAGTTAAATAAATAATTTATAAATTAAAAATTAATAATATATAAATATATTAATAACTTATTAATTAGAATAATTAAAATATATTATGCGATATATTAATTTTTCACTCGATTTCGATTATCGAAGTGGCTTATGATGTCAGCCAATCAGAGAGCTTGTAGGAGAATTTTGGCGCGTTTTTGGTGAGACAGGATCAGTCTCCTGTGAAAAGTCATCGTGGAAGGACGTGTTATTGTGACTCTCTGATGTAAGTGGCTGATCAACTACCTTCGGTGATTCTACTACGCAGTAAGTAATTCTATTCATATTTTATTATCAAATTTTATAAATTATTAATAGCTTTGTTTATTTAATAAACTGGATTTATTTATTATTCTAATGACAAAATTAATTATTATTACGAGTTTCTTTTTCGTCGAAATTGCGTAGTAATAATTCATTGCTCTTTGAATCGTGATTTGAATTATTTTATTGTTCCATCTTAATATGACAGTTTTTTTTACACATTTGTTTCATAATTTTTATTTTCATTTGGAAAAATTATCATTCGCTTGTCGGAATCAAAGGAAAAATGATTTATATGTACATATGCTATCACGATTTGCAACTGATTTTGACGGTTTATTTTTATGAAGCGTAATTTGTTTAAAATAGATTTCTATAATTCTTTCGTCCATATTAAAATGAAAGTGAAAAATTAATTTTATTTCATCGAAATTATGACGCATCATTGTATTATCGATATTCATATTAATTGAACCATTCCATTTTACCTCACGGAAAAATGGACTCGTCCAATCTCTATAAAATGAATGTAGTCTGTTTGCTGTGTAATACATATATATTTTCTTCTATAGTTACATATTATTTATTATTCACACATTATTATTTAATTAATATGTTTTTTTACTGAAATATTTAATTTTATTTCATCGAAATTGTCATTGTCACACTATCGATATTCATATTGACTGGACTATTCCATCTTACCCTCAAGAAAAATGGACTCGTCCAATCTCTATAAAATGAATATGGCCAGTTTGCTGCGTAGTATATTATTTTTATTGAAATTTTTATTACTAATATTTGAAGAAATAAATTAATTGTATTTTAATTATTTACTAAATTATTTATATTTTTTTATTCTCTTATTTGACGGCTATAGTTCCAATTAGTTCATATTATGACTTTTTGAAATAAAATTGTATCTTGATTATTATTTTATTTTATTAATATGATCGATTAATTTTTATATATTTTATATGTTTATTTATTAAAATTTTATTTATTTATTTTTTTTTGTAGATTATTAGCTAATTAATGGTCCAACTTCAAAGATGGGAAAAATTTCATAACGGATGTCATCGTATTTTTCAAAGAAAAGGCTTGATTTTTCGCTCGTGTACTGTATGTATTTATTCTGTTTTTATTCGATCACATTTGTACGATATATTTTATACTTTTATAATGAACATTTACTACAAATATTAATATTTAAAATTAATAAAATAAGTCTTAATAAGAAATTAAAAAAAAAATAGTAATATTTTCTGAAACAAATGTTCGATATAAAAAAAAGGAAAATATTTTACTTCTTTTTTTATAGATCTCCCATTATTATAATACATTTTTATTTCCAGATGATTTTTGTGACCGCGCGCAATGCGGTTGATAGATTCAGTGTTTGCTCTGTAATAGTTTTTTAATATTTTAGAGCACAAAAGCTCTAATTAAATTTATTATATATTATATATTATAATCGCGAAATTAGAGTCAGTGCTTGTTCGCCTATTATAAATTAAACAAATAGTTAGTAGTGTTAATAGTTTTTTATTTATAATTTTTTTTTTTTAAGTATATTTATTCATATTCGGTATACAATAGAGTCAGTGCTTCTCAAGGGAATAAGACGGTCATCCATCACGCGAAGAGGTAATTATTTTATTATATTTTCTACTTATTTTATCATTTTTAAATAAATGAGTATTGTATGATATTAATAATGATATTCCATGTTTTGATATAGATTTCATTTTCTCGTATTTGGCGATGACATCCTATGGATCACGACGGCATGGTTCTTCGCATCTATTGGTGAGTCGCATGTATTTATGTTCCTCCGGTCACTCAGTCATGTCGTAGGATGAAAGGTCCGAATCGACACGAGTGATTGGTTGTATACGTAGATTTTTGTACGAGCACAATGATCACGGGTATTAATTATATCCGTGAATAGTAACATTTCTTTTTCTTGTATTTTATTTATTAGATCAGGATAGATCTTCTTGCACGTCGCGTTTTTAAGATGATATTGACAGTTAATTTTATATTAAATAATATATTAATATAATATAATACATCTAATTATTATGAATGATGTAAATAATTCATTAAAGAACCATATAAATATATATTTCTGAAAGAAAAATTAATATTCGAATAAATGAGAATGAAATAATATTGAAATGATTTCAATTAAATCTCTTGTAGTAAAGAATTCGGATGTCCTCCGACTTCGTTACAATTGAAATATTAATTATTATACAATATTATTGATAATGCATTATCGTTTATTAATATAAACAATTGTTAATTTTATGTTTTGTTTTCGTAATATTTCAATATTTGATTTTTTATTGTAAAATTAAGAATGATTTGAAATATAAAAGTAATAAATATTACTTTTAGATATTTTATTTTCTCCGTAAAAGAATGAAATATTATCTGCAAGAAGATACTTCGCGACAGGTAGATTTCTAAATCAGAGCAATCAATTTTGAATATTAGTTTTGTATTTTTAAAAACATGCTTTGATGAAGAGATCGCCTGAGGTTATTTTCATTAATATTCCATTTAAAGTCAATTTCTTATTATTAATTTTCATACACAAATTTATCATGATTGATATAAATATTATATTACAATTGATATATAATTATATAATAAATTTCTTATTTTTTACATATTTTTTCTTCTTAAAATTAATAATAGTAAAATAAATATATAAAGTTTGAAATAAAGTAAGCAAATTTTGAATTAAAGAACATTAGTCCGTTAGAAAATAAATACATTAATATTTCTTTTAGCTTAGGATTTTCAGATTTAACCCTTTCCATGTCCATTGCCAGGATCTCACTCACGTGCCCAGGTGCAACTTGAGTGAAAGAGAGGCGATGGGTATGATGATCATAGTTCGTAAATTCATATAATAATTTTTCAGCGACTGACGATGCGTTAGTGTATCGTGCACGACGTATTTTCCATATTGTGTGTGTGGTTAGGCTGTGGAATTGCGTCGTTCTGTATATCATTCCATACAATACTATAATATATATAGTATAACTTGAGATATTTAAAACATTCATGACTAATTTTATTCTCATTATAAATATAAATATTATTTCCAATAATAATTTATATGGATATTATAATTTTAAATTGCAATAATATCAAATTTAATCGCCTTAAAAGTTGTATCTTTTCATTAATAAATATTCAAGTTTATTAAAATTAAAATATATATATGTTTTTGTCGCATTTCACGCAATGGTCACTAGCTATCGTCAGTCGATTTCAGGAAAATGGTACGTAAAGTTAGAGTATGCGAGTAGTGTGCCAAGCTCGGGTGTCGGAGGCGTCCCGGGACGCTTTCCCTAGTTTAGGCTTTTGCGCCCGAGTGTTATGTGTGAGAATCGTGGAATGAATGTGTTGGTGTGCCTGTTTTGCCACTTTTTAAATATAGAGTTAGGTAGGATAGGTAGTATATTTCTGGTACGAATGTTAATTATAAGTAGGTAGGGCCGGGCAGATTGTCACAGTCTCTGGTCGGGTAGGCGCGTTTTCGCGTGACAATCTGTTTCAGGGAATAAAATTTGAGAAATCGAGGGCAAAGCTGAGACGAATGGACGACAATGCTACTCGTCTCTGGCTTTGCTTATCAATTTTTCGAATTTCGTGGTCGCGGTCGCGATTTGCTTTCGAAACGAACGTTGCGCTCGAGATTCGGTGCATGTACGGAGAACGATCATTCCGATCGTTGGTCGTCCATGCACTTAGTTTCCGCGATTTAGTCCTTTTTTTTCTTTTTTTCTTTGGTTTGCGATTAGTGAATCTCGAGCCTAGATTTAAGTTTCAGCGGGCATTGCGCCCGAAGGAGGAAGACCGAAGAGGCCCGACAAACTGTCACGAAGAGGGCTGCAACGAATGGTTCCTCATTTTTTGGATCTTTTTTGGATCCAAAGAATGGGAAGTCATTGTTACTATTTTATCATTGTGCTCGTTTTAGTAATATGTAGTAATTGTTGTTGTGCTGTCTGGCCGATTTGCATGCCGGCCCATCATCCAGATCCAGTCATTATGGGCATCGCGATTTTTTGTTGTTAGTGTTGCGATTGATTAATAACGGATTGAATTAGAATTGCGTTAAAATAAGAATCGCGTTTGCATTAATGTTGCGTTAAAATGAGAATCGCGTTTGTATTAGTGTTGCGAATTATAAAATTACCGGTTTTTTGTTATAAATTATTTATATTTTTATAAATTTTTCATATTATTATAGCTTTTTTATACAGTATCTAATAATAAAATTTATATCTTTTGTGAATTAAATTCATTATTTTTAATTAACTATTAAAAATAGTAACATTCCTTAATCAGAAATAATAATTTTGATTGAATTCATTTTAAAAAGTAGTATTGCATCGATAAATAATCGCGTTTATTCGAGTAGTGTTGCGAATATTGAATGCCCAAATTTCTTCCACTGGGATTGTGGAAGTATTCATGTTCCTGTTCGTTCCTGAATCATCTTAGCAGTCAAAGAGACTGCACAATAGCAGTCAAGAAGACTGCACGATAGCAGTCAAAGAGACTGCACAATAGCAGTCAAGGAGGCTGCACGATAGCAGTCAAAGAGACTGCACGATAGCAGTCAAGGAGGCTGCACGATAGCAGTCAAGAAGATTGTATTTGATTTTTCGACATTAGTGTTGCGTTATTTAAATTTGAGTGCCTAGAATACTCTTGCGTAAATAATTGATCTTTTTTTATGATTTTTTTTATCATTTTCAAATTAATTAACATTGCAAATATAATAAAGCACTCATCGCGGTTTTAAAAATTTTTTATTTTATAAAAAAATATTAGTTTATTAGTGTTGCGATGCAAAGTATTTATTCCACTCGCGGTTTTGTTGCTCGCGTTTATATAGAGTGGAAGATATTTTTATTTTAGTTAGTAGTCCTTCTGACTACTAAATTGTTTCCTTTTTTCAGCATCCCTTATCATCTTTTCCATTTATTGCAAAAAATATTGCTATGATATTTATATTTTTTATATTTCTCATTGGTGAGGACTTAATCTTTTTTAAAATATCGAATTTAATTTTTTGAAATCAATAATGGTAAATGTTCATTATAAAACTTATTTTTTTATATTATTCCAGACGATCGTTTAATCGTTAATCGTTTTTTTTTTTTCCTTTTTTCAATATACTAATCCTTTAAATAAGTTAAGTTTGTTTCAGATAAATTATCCCTCGAATAATATTTTACAATCACTTATATATTTCAAGAAAATGTTATATTTGAATCTATCATCGATTAGTAAGTAATTATATGTATCATATATTTTAATAATTTTACTAATTATTTTTGTTCTGATTTGTTTCAGATACTATTGTGAAAGCAATCAATTATTACTTATCATATTTTACATAATATAATATCTCTTTTACTTTTCTGTACTACGTTAATATTTTGTTAGTATTTTTAGAGTATTGTAAAATTTTTGTTAGTATTGCAGGAGGGGCCCCTAAAAAAATCTTAAATTTTTATATAGGATAGTATATTTATATTAGATAGTACCTTTCTTCAGAAATAGAAAAAAATTACAGTTTTTCTTAGATAGGAATCATATAAGTCTAGGAATCATATAACTAATTATAAAATACCTACATTTTTTAACTTTTTTTGTTAAACTTTTGTATTCTTTTTTTGTTTCAGAGATCAATGTGAGACCAATAAAGGATATTTTTATTTATCGTATTTCATACAAACTCTTACTTTCACTCTGGATTTCACTGAAATTTTTCTTTAAATTTTTAATTAGACTGAACAAATTGTTATAGGGAGGGAAAGATACTATGTTTAGATATGCTCAATAGACATTAAAATAAATATTAAGCTAATATATAAGTAGGGACTAAAAAATATGATGAGTTTAGATAAAACTATTTTAAGTTAATGTTTTTAAGTATTATATTAAGTTAAGTTTAGAATGTATGTAGTAGATGGCTTGTAAAATTGCTGCTGTAGAAATGCTTATAGTAGAATACTGCTTAAAGTAGAATATACGTTTGAAAATGCATGCATGGTAGTAGTAGTGGGAATAATTGTATAAAAATGGTGATGGTCAATAAAATAAATATAACTCTGTTTGAAATTTATTTTATTTTATTTATTTATTTATTTTTGATTTAAATTTTTTAATATTTTATTTTTCTGGAAGTTTAAATTATCAATATTTTATACATTTATTGTCATTTATATCTTAAAAATTTAAAATATTGATATATGTGCGAAATAATGTGTTTGTATTTCAAGTAGAGTTATATACAATTAAGATATAATTTAATTTTTATTTTCAGGTTTAGCTTATCGCGTCGGTTTTCCTTAGAATTCCTTTTGCTTTTTGTTTTGCACAACGATCAAAGATAGAACGTTTTGCAAAGCTACATCAAAAGGAAGATTTATCATTGATGTTAAATAAATTTTTACGTAAAGGCGGGTGGATGGGATCGTGGATAGGGTGGGTCTCCAATTCGCAGCAACCTCCTCGTGGTGAGACCTGGGAAATCATTATTATTTACTATAGAATTCATAATCGTATTCGCGATACAATTATAAATTTTATAGCAAATAATGTGAGCTAATTGGCTGCGCACGCGATTCCAATTGTATTGCTTTTTTGCATAGTTATTAGGATTTATTGATTTATTGGTTACACTTTTATTTTAATTTCTAAACATTTATTTTGTATATTACGTATATTCGATCAATATGATCGTGATGACTCTTCTGTTATTTCCTCTTTTAGTTCGCAACATTTTTGCGAATATATGTATTTTAATATATATATATCTTTTACGAGATAAGTATATATTACGTTTCTATGGTCATTATAGTAAATTAGATGAATGTAATAAAGGATGCAATATGGTAAAGGATGTGAAAGATATTCTATATTATTCGAAGTCGGTATTTTGAGATTATGAGATTCAAAATCCCATAAGATATCATGTTCGAGCGTTACAATCGAGCACAGTCGATAATAGAGAACATTGGTATATAATCGTAGATATAGGAATGTAGATATGGGAATGAAAGATAGATATATGTAATTTGTTTCTATAACAGAGAGTCAAGAA